CGCTACCACTGTCGCTCTAAGCGACACTGGTCCCTATGCAAAACAGCATGCCTTTTCCTCGGCCGCACTTGAGCCATCGTGATTCGCCGGATCCTGTCAGCTGGTTGTTTCGGAAGGGCTAAAGCAGAAAAGACACTAGAACCCAGGGTTGCTAGGCTGGGATTAGTGGAGGTTCAGAAATGCTCGGGGAGCAAGGAGCACGTACAGGTAGTCCTACACACCTACACACGAATGTAGGGGCTCAATAATTAGAATAGGGTTTTGGGGTAGTTATACTATATTAATAAAAGAGACCCCCAAAACAATATAAGTAACTCTTAAGGCCCTTACATTGTGCCTCAACCCCCGGACAGGCGGAGCGGCTATTCCAGAAGCAGGTGGAGACCCTCGTGCAGCTTGAAGGAGCCAAGCCACAGCCGGAGACTAAGAGCACTCGAGAAGTCCCGATACGGTTTAGGGTTTTGGGTTTGGGGTTTTGGGTTTAGGGTTTAGGGTTTAGGGTTTACCGAGCCTGCAAACCCCATGCCCTGACCCCAACTTCGAGGATCGGGGAGTAGTAGTAAGTACCCATAGGCCCCCGTAGTAGTTCCTTTTCGGGGTTCATATTTAGAATCCAAAAAGGTAATCCCAAAAAGGAACTGCTATGGGGCCTATGGATAATGTTATTAGAAGCACCAGAACTGGCGATTACAAGTGATTATTAACGCCAGTTCCTTTATTCATAACCCCCCTTCCTGTACCGCAGACCCCACACGCTGGGAGTGGAAGGTTGAAGAAACTTTAGCCAGCCGTGATCGTTGCAACCCTTCTTCCTTTTTTGTATACTTTAGAGTAAGTCTTGTGAGACTGCTGATGGCATAAATCCGAAATTACCTTTGCGGCCCTACTGTAAACTATGGGATTATGGTATATTCCTTATTATGGGTAACGCAGGTTTTTTCATCAACCGTATCATGGACATCTCGACTCGAAGCAAAGGACTTCCCGAAGAGTTTGGAAAGTTGAAGGCTTTCGCGGTTGGGCATATCCTATGCCCTAAACCCTAAACCCCTAAAATCCTGAACTGCCGAGTTGTACACATATATATATATATGAGAGGCCTCAGATACTGTCTCCCGGATACCTTAACTCCGAACCCTAAGAAGCAAGTATGAACTGTGTAACTTCCCCACCCTAGACAAGCCCCCCCGGCAAAGGCAGCGACTGATTGCATATCTCCGACCGCCAGGGCCTTGAGAGTGCTGTTCCGGGTGAATTCGGATTCAGGGCTTTCCTTGGAGCCTCTAACACCATATAAAACCTACCTCTGTAGGGCTCCATATTACGATCTCTTTCTATAGGTCCTTAGACAGGTATGTTCTTTGGGGTTTAGGGTGTAATGCTTCGGGGTGTAGGGTGGTCACGGATTTCCGGTCGGGGGTTTGAGGGTCTGGGGTTTAGGGTGGTTGGGGGTTTCCAGTAGGGTGGTGGTTTTGGGCTTGGGGCTTCAGGGTTTAGAGGGCTTGTATGGGTTTCATATGCACTGATCGGATACCCTAAACCCCTAAACTCTAAACCCTAAACTCCTAAACCCCTAAATCCCTAAACCCCTAAACCCCTCAACCCTAAACCCGGTAGATAGGTTGTTGAATCCGTTTGTTCAAAGACTTTGGGCTTATCACTGTCGGGGACCGGTCTAGACTCTGTACTTATAGGGTCTAGAATCAGTTGGGCTTCTACGGTTTTGTAGGGTTTACCCTAAACCCTAAACCCTAAACCTTTAACTACCCTGAACCCGAAATCCTCAACAATCTACCGCCAGTTCCCAACGTTGAAGCGTTCATCTCGACAGGCTGCACCTTCGAGCTTAAAGGGTTGTTTTTATAGAATTTGTGCTTATTTATCTGGTTTTATAGCGCAAAATTGGTTTTGTATATTTATCTGGTTTTATAGGGCAACATAGGATTTTATAGGACTTTAGGGTGTTTACAGATACGGGGGGTTTTGGTATTCTTGGAGGCCGTTGCCGGCACGTGATGCCTCGATGCTGCTCGATTCCTGCTGCGGGCGCTTGCTCTCACACGCCAGGCCTGAGTTTAGGGTTGCGAGAGACCCCCAAAACTCCCGAGAACGGAGTATAGTTGGTATCATATTCTAACAAGAGCCCTAAACCCAAAGAGCCCTAAACCCTAAACCCCAAGAGCCTAAAACCCTAAACCCAAAGACCCTTAAACCCTAACCCTAAACCCAAAGTTATAAGGAAACCCTAAACCCTAAACCCTAAACCCAAAGTTATAAGGATACAGTATATTGCTCTAAGGAACCAAGGATTGCTCAACTAAGCGATGGAAGGAGTCTCTGAGTTTTTTGTCCTCTATGAAGCTTACAAAACTCCTTGGGTTCTAATGTTTTTTTGGAGCCGTAGGGTTTAGGGTTTTAGGGTTTAGGGTTTAGGGTTTAGGGTTACCAGTTCGAACTCTCGTTCCCTGGGCATTCGAAAGTTGCTCGCGAGAACGGGTTTAAGTAGTTTTAACCTTCTCTGGGAGATGGGCATTGAGGGTTTGGTGCCCTGTGTAGGAGTTGAAGATTACCGACCAGCTTCATGAAGGAAACACTTATGAAGAGAGTTGCCTGGGTTGAATCGGGAAAGGGTTTTTTGTTGCTTTCAGGCGTTGTTGTTCATAACTGAGAGTCTTTGTGCAAATAGGTGTCTGGGATTCAGGGTTTAGAAACATTCTCCAAGAAGAACCAAACAAGGAACCATGCTGGAGGCTACCGGTAAGGCAGAGGTGGATAGTACAGCGTTCAGAATAACTGGTGATAATATATCCTCGTAATCCCTATATGACTACTGTACTATAACGTCCCCCAAAGCCGTTTTGAAGTTATCGAGGCCACTGGCTAGGCCTGTAAAGCCCCAATCATATACGTCCCATAGATCTCTCGAAGGAAGCTTATCCTCCTCAGTCACGCCCCTATACTGGGGCTACTGCGGTTTAGGATTGTTAGACATCATGAGACATGCTTCTTTCCACGCTGCATGTGTCTTTTTGCACCGCTTGTTTGCAGAGAACCGTGGAGCCAGAAGGGAAAGCTCTTAAATCCCAAAACCCCAAATCCCGCAACTCACAAAAGAATGAAGCCCATATAAGATGTGACTCTATCAAGCCTTAGGTACCCTTATGAAGCCGCATAAACCCCAGACCCCAAGCCCTACAAAGGCCCTAGAAGCCCCATGCTAAGCCAAGAAACTGTGAACAAACACCCAAGGTTGAGCCAATCATGCTCTTAGGATAGGGTTTTGGGTTTTGGCTTCAGAGCTTTGGAATGAGGACTTGGCGGTGAAAGCGTCGTGCAGGCCGGCGCAGCTCGTGGGGGTGCTGGAGTGGCCTAGGACAAACACTGGCAAGATCGACCGCAAGGCACCGGCCCTTTGATTCGGAGCCGGGTCGTTGGGGGTATGCCTCTTTTCTTGGCGTCCTTCTGGTTGGCTCTTGGGACTTCTTGTGTTGGGTTTCTATATATGAACTATAACAAGTAGGTTAAGAGTTTAACTTTTAGGAGGGGTTCATAAGTCAGCCAAGTTTTGTTGTCCGCTAAGGTACATTTGACTCGAAGTTCGGGTGCAGCCATGTAGCCAATGCGACCCGGCCGTTTTCCCAGAATAGAAGCTGTGGGAAATCTAGCACTTGTAGACTCAGACGCATAAGATAGGGGCCTAAATAATTACCTATACTATTGTTGGGGGTTTCCTTATTATAATTTCTAATTATGAAGGCCCCTACATTCTACGATCGCCCTACGTTGGCCACGCATCCTGAAACTGCCCTCAAAATGCAAGAGGATTCAGCTGCAGATGCCAAGGACTTGACTGATCAGAAGTATCCACCAGGCCAATGTAGGTACCCGATTAAGATACCCCGGCCCTTTAACCCCAAAATATTCGGATTCTTGTAAGGAACACCAATAAAGATCCAAGGTTTCTTAATCAGGTTCCTATGTTATAAGGTATTTTGCACAGTCATGTTCAGGAGCTATATGGGTGGTTGTCAAAATTATGGTCCCTTTTTGGGCCCTCATTATAATACGGCGCCTAGTATTTAGGGTACCCCAAAAGGAACCATAATTTTGACAACTACCCGTATAGCTATACGTTTATCTGAAGGCGCCTTTGGCACACATTGAAAGGGCTGATGTCGCTGCGATCCTGTTCCAAAAGCCTTATAGAACCCTTCTGCATGTGTAGATGTATAAGATGTGTGTGTGTATGTATATATATATGTATATGTATATGTGTATGTATATATATATATATGTATATGTATGTATATATGTATGTATTTNNTATATATACATACATACACACATGCACACCCGCAACAGTTTACACATTTGTGCATGTGTACAAAGCTGAATACATACATACATGCATGCAAAATCATGCAAAGAGTTCAAAGCCCAACTGTTTCTATCCATGCCTCGATGCCTGCAGTTGCTGCGCCCGCCGGCGGCTGCGAAAGCAGGTCGAGTCCGTCAGGCAGAGCAGAAGATGTAGTGCGAAGCAACAAGCAGTTGGGGCTTCAGGGTGTAGTTAGTAGCACTTAGTCTGGAGAATCGCGGAACAAGACAAGGGACCGCCACGTACTTCAGCTATAAGAAGCAACGCCAACGAACGACCACGTCCTCCAACACCGCCAACACCACCAACACTTCCAACACCAACACCAACACCAACACCACCATCACCAGTAGCAGCATCACCAACACCAACACCACCGCCACCACCAACAACAACAACAGCAGCAACAACAACAACAACATGAATCATCAACAGTAACAGTAACAGCAGCAACAACAGCAGCAGCAGCAGCAGCGGCAGCAGCAGCAGCAGCAGCAGCAGCAACGGCAGCAACAGCAACAACAGCAGCAGCAGCAGCAACAGCAGCAGCAGCAGCAGCAACAACTCCAACAGCAACACCAACACCACCAACAACAGCAGCAAAAAACGATGCAAACACGGCGCCCATGACACGAACAAAAGCTATTATCAGCAACGGCAACAGCAAGACACCATCAGAATCACCATCTTCATCAGCAGCAGTTTCACCATAAGCATCTTAATCAGCTCGCTGAGGCAGCCAGCATAGATATGCTCGAGCGGTACCTGCAACAACAACTGAAGCTACACTACTACCACAATGACATTTTCGGCAGTATCACTTGCAGCAGCAACAACAACGACGATGACGACGTCAGCAGCCACAGCAAACAAAGCCACAGCAAACGACGACAGCGACAAACAGAGCAACCACAGCTGCAACCGCGGCTGCAATCTGAACAGAAACCACATCCACAACGGCAGCCACTGTTGTTGCTGCTGCTTCTACTACCACGACGACGACTACTCCTCCTGCTGCTATTACTAAGCACTACTACTACTACTACTACTACTACTCCTCCTCCTCCTGCTGCTACTCCTACTTCTACTTCTATCAGACCTCCTCCTCCTCCTCCTGCTACTATCGTCTGCTCCGCCTCCTACTCTTACTGCCGCGCCTAATCTTTCACCTACTCCCCCTCCTCCCGCTTGACTCCTCTGACTCCTGCTTCTAGTTCTGCTCCTTCTCCTGCTTTTACTGAACCGCATTGGCAATACTATCAAGGCAACTGCGAAAACAATAGCATAAGCATCAGCAACAGAAACGGTAAGCAGTCTTTGCCATGACAGCAGACAAGTGTAGGTCTCGTTTCGGGAGGAGGTTCATAGAGCGTTGTGATGCGGTTCGACTTTGGTTTTGTTTTGGCTTTGCAGCTTTCTGCCCTGTCAGGCTTGTTCGTCGAGGGGTTTTCGGTTTAGGGTTTAGGGTCCCTGAGCCCGAAAAATGACATCTGAAAGCCTAAACTGTGGATTGTAGACTGCATCGTCACATGAACCTCTGGAGGTGGCAGGCGGACGTCCATTAGGAATCTTCTAACTTGGGACTCATGATTCAACACAGGGGGTTATACGGTTATACGTGTTTGACATGTGGCGTTTGCCTGAATTTCGAAGCAGTCCCTGGGAGCTAGGATTAGGGGTACCCTTGGGGATATAGACCCTCTCAATAAGGTCCCTTTTAAGAGAGCCAAAACTAGGGTTCAGAAGGGGTACCCTTTATAAGGGGTACCCCTAATAATACTACCTAGTCCCCAAACCGTTCGCAGGCCGCTCATCTTGGGGCCGACCGTACCTGGATAGCAAACAGCGGTGTCAGTAGGGCAGCAAGAGCATATGGTAATAGAGGCGCCTTCAATAGTTGCCTAGACTATTTTTTGGGGGTGGGAGGATCCTTACTTGGAGGATCATGGGACTTGGTAAGTGAGGTTATAAGGGCCCTAACTGGGGTTATAAGTTATAAGTAAATATACGTATAGCTCTCCCAGATATAACCCTACTTACTAGGTCCCATGATCCTTTTA